CCTCTCTCACTATCTTCCTCTCTCTCTCTCTCTCTAACCCATATTGATTACAACACTGATCCATCCCCAACTCTCTTTCTAACCCATATTCACTGGCTACAATGATTCATTCCCAAATTTCTCTCTCTAACCCAGTGTTTGCGATAACGGCCAGTTCAATTGGTTAATGTTTGACAATTTACAACGCTACATCCTATGATCAATTCCTATTAAGGGTAGGGGCCCTCTCCCCATTAAGTCATGCAAAAAAAAAAAAAAAAAATTCGGAACTAACCGGTTGGATCAGAATCGAACACTAGCAATTCTAGTTTTAGCGGTTCTGGTGATCCAGTTGGTACTTCAAGCAAAAAATAAATAAATAAATAAATAAATAAAAATATATATATATATATATAAAATCTCAAAAAATAAGAGATTTGTTTGTAATGCTTTTTTTATCATTTTGGCCACGAATGCTTATTTTAACATTTTCTCATATTTTTTTAAAATTTCAAAACTACTACCTTTGGGCACAAATATATTTTTTAAAATTTTTTTTTCGTTAATTTTCAGGATATATTTTGTTTAATCATGCTTTAAATACACTTTTTATATTTTAAAATTTTTTATTTTTTATTTTTTTTACACTTTTTTGACAAGCTAAGACTTGTTCCGGGACGGGCCGATTCGATTTTTTCGAATACTGCTCTAACCTACCCTTTAAATAATTTCCTTCCAGGAAGTGACCGTAATGCTCTTTCTCTGTAAATTAGACTATTACAGTCCCAGACCTGTTTTGAAGATGGGCCATTGGTCAACAATGAGTCAGGGCAAGGTACACAAACATGAGGTCATGGCTCGCAGCTGACGAATTAAAAAAGAAGAATATTGTTTCTGTGCTTGTTACTGTTGAGACAAGGAAAAAGACTTTGTGAGTAGAATTTTAGGTCACGTCCAATCAGTACTTTCGCTACTGTAAATCAAAATTTGGAACCTCCATTTGTGCTGGTTATCCCAAATCTGTACCGTATATGCATAAAAAGGGCTTGTATACTGAGAAGGTTTCTATATTATCCGTACAATACAGAAGATCTATGTTTTCTCGGCCATCTAATTTTGATCATTGAATCGCCCAGTGTTTGATCTAGATTGAACGTTTTAAAGTTAGTTTATTTATATAGATTGTATGAATGTGAAATTTGGTAGGTGCCATATTCTCATTCGAGCGCATCTAAAAAAAATATTAATTCTTTTTTGTCAATAAGATATAATAACCAATATATCCTTTGAAATTTTTAGAAGTATTTTAATCATTTGATTTTATTGAGAATATTAATTTTATATTTTTTGTAAGTGTGACTTTAATAGAAGATTGGGCACTCAAAATTTTGTGGAAAAATAGTTTGTTAAAAAAAGATTAAAAATAAAACCGGGTAGAGATGTGACATTGTGATTGGAGCCATCTTAACCATCCATTCAAAATGAACGGTTAGATAGAAGGAAGTATATAAGTTTTATGGTGTAGAAAAAACATAGAAAGCTTCCCCGTGTACTGTAATACTGTTTACTTTTGAAATATAGAGAGAAAGATCAGTATCTCCTCATTGATACGTAGAACCCACCAATCAATTAGAGAGAGATCATTATTCAGTCATGCACAAATTCGAGAAATGATGAGGGGCAGTAAGAGAGAGATCATTATATTCTTAGAAAGAGATTATTGTATCGTCATAATCAATTAGAGAGAGCATAATCTAAATCCCCATAATCAGTGAAGACAAGAAGAACACATCTGACAATCAAAATCCAGACCACCATTCCTAACATGTCAGATGAACTAACCCTAAATTCTGAATCCGAAAAGAAAGAAAAAAACCTGGAATTGAAGGAATGAAAGCAACCTGGAATTGAAGGAATGAAAGCTATGAAAATGGCGGAATAGCACTGAATTATGATCGATTCGTGTATCCATTGTTCTGAAGAGATGAATATAAGATTAGTCTGAGAAAGAATGGAGATTGCATACCTTATGAACAAGCACAAAGATGGCCATGTCCTGTAAACTAGGGTTTTGGAGATAGTCTCTTGAGGAGGAGAGCTTTGAACGC